GGTGGTCGTCTTTGTTAATGTGAACTCTTATGTTTTGTCATGATATGATTTTGATTTATTGTAGCTTATAAGAGGATAATATGCTAGGTAAATTATCAAGAAATGTTAATGCTTTCCTCTTCTTTTGTCTTTGCAGCGTGCTTCATACGAGTCTTTGCGACCCTCTGCCTAGCACCTAGAGTGCCTCATCGACGATAATTTATTTCAATTCCAGTGTCATTTAAAAATGGTTTCGTATACCTGTGGCTCTTTAAGCTTCTTGTGTCTCTCTTCATCCACGCTTGAACCAATCTAATGTTGGTGGTAATTGATTGTTTCTTCTCATTACCTTATATCCTATTCAAGTTTAACTATTTCTATATTCATTGATTTGGTGGAATAAGGTTAGTAGTAACAATTCTTGTGGCTGAGTCCGGGAGTCGTCAATATACATATCGGAAGCTCATAAATATTTTTAAGTGAGGTTAGAAAAAGAAAAAAACAACTATTTGTCACGTATGACGGAACTAGTCTCAAAACAAGCGCTATGTTAGTAGTACTATTTTGATGCATTTGGACATTTTGGTAGAAGAATATGTCAACTTCAAGTACAATACCCTAATTTGACAATTGGTTGATACTTGTGAGTGTATGTATTGTCAATGATTTAGTGTCATGGAATCAAAGAAATATGGCCTCATTTTGTTATTTTTTATTTTCTTTCTCGAATCATTAATCATTTCAAATCACAAAAAACATTCAGTTCTATCGTGATACGTACTAACCTTATGTATGTTTGAAATTGTTGCGCGAGACTTCCTTCAACATTCTTTGAACTTATGGACATGGTCACAAAGGATGCTAATGCAAAGGCCACCCTAATTAAACATCAAACTACTAAACTCGTAAATATACTTTATCTTGGATACATATAATCTGACTCAAAAAAGTTCCTTGTCTCTGTAAGAAATGCAAATACATAACAAAATCATTCTCTCATCAAAATTGATAGTGGAAGCCTGTAAAGATGAACGAAGAGTATGTAGAGAGAATGCTCGAAACCCTAACGGTTATTAAAGAAGCATTACATGAACATCTAAGACGTTTGCCGAGCTAGTCACATCAGCTTCATGTACCTATCACGGATACTCTAGCCAATAGTCTAAGATTCTCTCTTGGTAAGCCATAATTAAGTATCATTTTAACATCCTTTCTCCAACTTGTAACGTGTTATAATTAAGTGGATCTTATCAGAGATTCTTTTTGATATCTCTTTGACTTGAGTATCTCAATGAGCAGTGGCGGAAGGGGGGGGGGTCAACTGACCCCTATAAATTAGTAAA